CTTATACTAAAACGGCTAAGGATTATAATACCCCCCCTCATTCTAATCGCTGTTAAGGACTGTTAGTATATGGGGGAACATCCCAAATGGAGTCCCTTTTTCTCATGGGCCCCCTTGTTTAGGGTTCAGGGCTTAGGGTTCAGGGTGAATCATACGAATCATGCTAAATAGTATGAACCATTCTTATTTCCTCATTACCGAATATTGAAAAATCACTCCAAAAATATGAATAGGCCTTTTCCTAGGAATATACCTTAAACCTTCTTAAGGACCCCTATATAAGACCCTAAACCCTAAACCCTAAACCCCAAACCCTAAACCCTAAACCCTACATTTCAGGCGCATTCCTTATTTCAGGGGTCTTGGGGCTCTCTGGGTACGCCGACACCCAGGGGCTTCGAATCCTCGGCTCTTCTGAGCACAGAGCCGTCCCAGAAGCTTCGGAAGGTGGACTCCAGGGATGCCCTGGAGGGAGGTTTAGGGTTCAGGGTTCAGGGTTCAGGGTTCAGGGTTTAGGATTTAGGGTTTAGGGTTTAGGGTTTATAGGTTTGTTTTGCCACCCGGCTAGCCACAGCAATGCGGGGTATTTTGGTGGGAGCTGGGAAAAACTAAAACCCCAAAGCGGCTCACGCCTGCACAAGGATATCGCCCAAGGCATTCAGGTTAGGAAATAGTTGGACTTTGTTGCGGCAACCAGAACACTCATGGTTTATAGGGTTTAGGGTTTAATTAGGGTTTCGGGTTTAGGGCACCACGATCTCAGATTCAGAGGAAAGGCTGCCACATGCGGCTTGGGGACTAGGAATCCTGTTAGGTGGCAGAAAGTGGTGGAGAAAGAAGGCGAAATTCTTTAAACGGCAGAAGGGCGGTTTGCCTTCACCAACTCCGGACTCAAAGCCGTACGAGTCCAGCCGTCATGCGAGCGAATCCAAACCCCAACCCTGCAAACAAACTCGACCCCTGGGACGAAGCTGGAATCGACCCATCTCGAACAGTTTGGGGTTCCGGGAAGTCTTAAGCGCACCAGGGCTGGTTGGCAATGGCGCATGTGTTTGGAGTGTGGGCAGAGCTGGGCATTCGTTTCCGTCGAGTTACGCCGGATTAGCAAGATTCAGCGCTCCATTGACAATGGGCTATGTTGCCGAGCATCCCTGACGGCCGCACGCGCCGTGTAGTGCAGTGAGAAGACGGTCGCCTTTCTTGCAGTATGTCATTAGTTTCGTCCGATGCTCATATATAAAATATACACACTTCTGTGTATATATATATATATCTATGTATATACACTATTTTTTCGAGCTTGCAACTCCTACCCTGACAGGTTGCCAGCCTCTCTTTCAGTTGACTCTCAATGCACGTCTAAAAAACCAAGATCAGGCGTCCTGCAGGTTCAGGGTGCTTGTTAACCCAACACGAATTATGACCATATTTGGGCACTTAAGGGGCTTATAAGTGGGTTACAAGTACAGTTTTAATTGGTTGATAAGTACCGTGAACCTCCTAGCAGGAGTCCTGCAGGTGCGCGTAAAGGCAGTGCTCCTCTGGCCTCCCGGTCCGGTGAACGGGGGTCACAAGACGTCATGTGCATGCGCCGTAGTAGTTAGGACAAGCAAGCTGGGATGTTCCCTTGTGCTAACAGTCCGTAATAGGGATCATAGTTGGGGGGCGGGAGGGGGGGGGGGGGGGCATACTATTATCCCTATTCAGGACTGTTAGTATGAGGGGAAGCATCCCAACAAGTAAGTGCTTGCAATGAGGGCGGACCGCACTCTTTAAGCTCTTCAATAACGTCCTTGGAGCATGCTTGATTGAATCGGGCTTGGGGTTTCAGCCATGAGGAGCTGATGGGCTTCTCTGGCCCCAAGCTCCGCACACCTGAAGATCAGATGTATACTGAGACCGTGTCTATACCGGAGTACAAGAATACCCTGGAGCTGCTCTATTCCTGAGCCCCCAAGTAACTATGTTCCCCGTAGAACCTTAATACTTACTACAAATAACTACGTCTATTATTCCCTTGGGTTTTATTGCGCAAATAAAACTCAGAATACTTCCTAAGAGGGGTTATAGGAAATCCCTGAGCTTTGCAGTGCCCTGGAGCCATGCCCACCTCGCGAAGCGGCTGCGGTGGCGGCTCCGGCAAGTAGCAGCGGCACTGGCGCGGGCGGAACCTTTCCGGCAATAGCACTGTCAGGATGAATAACACAACCGTGCGACGATAGAAAGGCTCTGCAAGGTTGCGCCCGTTGCAACTTCTTCACCGCGGCAAGAGGCAAGTCAAGGCGACGGGTGCCCCCCCCAGTCCCGCCCCCTAAAGCCTAAACCGCATCAGCTGGAACCCTTGAAGCCTGAAGTGCAACGGAGAGGTTTGGGGTTTAGGGTGTTTGTTCCCACCCGTTTGGGTCTAGGGTTGAGGGGTTTATGGAGTTATTTAGGGCCGCCCCAACCCAAAATGTTTACCCGGCCGCCTTTAAGGACCGCGCGGCCCGGAATTGGGGAGAGCAATGTTCCATGAAGAGCCTTACCCGCTGACTGGCAGGCTTCTGCCTTGAATCCCAAACATTAAACTTACATTCTTGCTGTTGGTTCGTAGGGAATGAGGGAATGAGGTACCCTAAATAATCCCTTAAAGGGTACATATAGGGCCTATACAATCCCTTAAAGGGTATATGTGACAGAAAACAACTTGGGAGACTTAGTTCTCTATCCTAAAGTGCAAAGCGCAGCAAGTCTGGGTTCAAAACGCCTTGTGGCCTTGTGTCTTGCAGTATTAACCAGGCCCAGCCCTATAAACCTTAAGGCTACATACTCGCACCGAATGGCCACAAGGTCCCGGCGGTGGCCTCAAGCCGGCGCAAGTGCGGATGCTGCGAAGGCCGCGGCAAGTAACATGCCGAGGGCAGCATGCAAGGCTTCCGGGGACTTTAAGCAGCCTAGCCAACCCAAAAACCCAATACCCCTTGAATAAGGAATATACCTTAAACCATAGTACCCCTTACAAATTGAGTTACATTCAAGGGGTATTGGGCTCTCTGGGTGCTGGAAGCAAGAGGCTGGAAGTATGCAGCGTCCAGAGGATGCGGTTTATCTGGAATGTCGGCCAGGGCCGCAACACAAAAAAAAAACAAAAAACCTGCCCTCATTCTGCGTCTTGCCAGCTGCTGAGTGATTTCCGAGTTTTGGGCTGGCTTTAGGGCTATGATTCCTGTGTGTGTGTGTGTCAGTGGCAGACCAAGTCGAAGGTTGCCTGAGCATGCTTGAGCTCATCATAATCATAGGATCATAGAATGCAGATTCGTCTGTCAAAACCACTGCAAATCTCGGGGGACTACATGAACACTTAGAGGGCTCATGGTCCATAAACCGTCATAGGGGTCATAGTATCGGTTCTATGCTTCCAATTCTAGGGCTCACTTGGCCCCCAAAGAACTTCTCCAGCCCTCATACACGCATCTTGTACCAGTTGGCCTCAGCTGCCAGCTGTAAGTTCTCCCCCCACAACATAGGGTTTAGGGTTTAGGGTTTAGGGTTCCTTGGTAAGCAAAGCCATCTGAGAAGGCCCCCACCCAGAAATGCGAACCCTGCTTGGACACTCTGCAAACAAACCGAGGCTCGGAAAACTTCGGCTTTGGGCCGGTTCTTGGCTTTTTTCCGCAGCCAAAAGGCAACCCCACTTAACACGCATGTGCACCGCAGCAGCAACATCCGCGCAGGAGCACCAAATTAAAGTTTACAAGAGCATTCCAAAGTACAAACCTATGTTCACTTTGTTCCTCGGCGACCTCCACATCAAGAATCAAAGTCGTACCACGCTTACGCCGGGCACTCAGAAAAACATAAACATCAAACATCACAGCACTGATCTTACATGTGCTTGGAATGTTACAATGAAAAAAGGCAATCCTCTCCGCCTTATGTACGCCAGCCGGTGGCCCGAAATCGACAAACCCAAGTCCGAAATTCCACGGAACCCCAATCCGTTCCTCTAATTATATTCATATTTTCACAGAAGGAATATTCAAAAAATATACAATAAGAATGCGATGAATTCTGGCTGGTGGTGCTTGTGCGGCATCCTGCTACTGCGGTGGTTACCATGCCAGGACCCAGTGCCCGGTCAAGGGCACATCTAACCTTCTCCTGGTTCTTTGCCGAACCTGCTGATGAGGAGGGTTTAGGGTTTAGGGTTTCGGGCTTAGGGTTTAGGGCTTAAGGGGGGGCTGACTTCCTCCAACTTCGGTGGGCATATGGGGTGGCCATGGCTTCCTGAGAACCAGGAGGACCCTCCACTCGGTTGAGTGGCCTGAGGCAACGAATGCCAGTGTCGGCTTGGCTTCAAGTTTTGACAGACACCCCGATGTGGCAGATGGTTCGAACTTGTCAACCCTAAGCCCGAAACCCTAAACCCTTCTGTCGTTATGAATATCTACCCGTCCTACTGTGTAGCTACCGGACCTTGAAATTGATTGGATGCCAACATAAGCATGTTAATGAGCTCCACGTGAGCACCTCATACTCACAGTATATCATCTACGGTAGCATCTTTCGTAGACAAGCTGCAGAATATCTGACACTGAACGCTGAGGTGAGTTCTAGGAGTTCTGGGATTCTAGGACCGAGCGAACCGGCAGCCGCCAAAAGCTCCAAGGCACTGTGCACCACAAATCCGAAACCAAACTTTGATATCGCACCCCTACGCAGCTAACCCAAATCGACTACCAGCAATCGCTGCGCCAATGTCCCAAATCTACGGAATAGCTGAACACTCCTTAGGCTTGTGGAGTGTTCATCGAATTCCAGGCAGCTATGCGCCGCCTGGTGAGATCCGCTAAAAAATCATCCAGTGCCCTGAAAGCCGGTAAGCTCGAGACTCTATAATTAGGCTACATGGCTTCAACCAGCAGTTGACAGTTGGAGCACCCGGAGCCAAACCTATAACCCCCCTTGCAAACCACAATGATACCACAATGCGGCAACTGGTGTACCCGGTGTACCCTCCATCAGTCAATCGTAAGGACGTCTGTATGGATGTCACGCTCCATCTGCTCGCGAAGCTGTTCCAGCCTCAGATTTTCGGGCAGTGGTCGGCACGAGGAGTCGAACTAAAATTCATCATCCACCGAGCTTAGCTGCATGTTGCGGCCGTCCTTTCAACATGCACAAGCTAGCAGCGCATACGTAGAACTTGCGTCTTGAAAGGTCCGCTGCCACTACACATCATCACCCCTTCAACACCCAATGCCGAAGTGTGCGACTTGGTCGCACCCCAAGATGGGGACCTCCCACGCATGATCTTGGGCAGAGCACACAAAGCAAATCCGCTGTGCGGCCGGGGGACTCGTCAAGCGCGATCTCGCGGAGGTCAATGTCAGAGCCTGGGATTTACTACGAGCCCCTGGGTACCCCCAAAAAGACCTCAATGTGAAGCACCCCCTGTGTAAGAATTACAAAGCTGAGGACTTTGCCTGGCCCTATTTTACTAGGTGATTGTAATTTGGGGACTTTGCTTGGCCTTATACTTAATTGAAGGCTTCACAAGGCGCACCGACTTGATCTCATTCATGTCGGCGCCTCCTTGCAGTCTTTTCTGCTTACTACTCATTGAAGGTCCTAAGAAAACCAATTTCAAGACTGAGCACGCAGGGCTCTAAGACCTTGACGTCAATTGAAGTGGGTTTCAGATGCCTGTGGGCTCTATGTACAGTGTACAACGCCACTCGGCCTCCTCAGCAGGGACCTCCTTTCTTCAACCAGAAACCCCTGCACTCGTAACAACCCTGAATCGCTGATCTTCGGCAGGGAGCCTAAGAAGCCCTTCAGCGCAGCCTCCGCCGACAGCCGGCGCCTGGGGGGTCACTTGCGGCTCAGGGCTTCGGGGTTTAGGGTTTAGGGCTTAGGGCTCCTACGCGCTTGGCATGTGAAGGAGAGGTGCGGATTGACGGCCCCCAAGCGCTTGAGGTCAAAGCTGCACCAAGGCCTGAAATCATGACCGGTTCTGTTGGACAGGCCTCTTCATGGGCGAGGCCTCTTCCAGGGACTTGCGCTTTCCCTGGCAGGAAAGCCGGTGGTGGTGGGGGGCCGGGCTTGTGTTCGGGCCTGCCGAACAGAGCAACTACCCGAAGAGCCCAATACCCCTTGACTCAGGAATATTCCTTAAAATCATATTCGGGATCCCAAATTCATTTAAGGTATCTTCCTTATTTAAGGGTTATAATGGGCTCTTTGGGTAAACGACTTTGAATACAAAACCCTAAACCCTAAACCCTAAACCGTAAACGTCCCACCTTCCCTCATTCCCCCAAAGGCTCCAGATCGCGCCTGGAAGAAGGCCGCCTGGAGCGTCTGGCGGCCTCCTGAACCTCATCTATCAAGGAACTGAAGGAGGGAACCTTATAAGGGACCTTAGGGATAGTATGGGGTAATGTAGGGGTCACTTAGGTAGTATAAGGTGTATATAGGGTTATATAGGGGAATAAGGAATAAGATTAAGGGTCCCTTCTAGGAGTCCCTCCTTTTACCCCTTGAGTCTAGCTTCCCACTTTTTTGAGGGAGCCACCTCGAGGGCAGAAGGGTGCAGGGGACCCGAACCTCAAGAACCTGTGGGATATTGTTCAAGACCCAATAAATATGATCAGAGTCGTCTCCATAACCCCCCCCGAGCCTAAACCCCAAACCCTTAGCTTCACCATCTTGAAAATGATCATGTTTGTTCCTTATATTGGGTTTAAGTATTTATAAAAATTTAAAATGATTTTCAACAATGACCGAGTAAGCCCTAAATCCGAAACCCGATAAACTCTAAACCCTCACATCGAAACCTTTAACCGAAGCTTCCCTCCAAGATGGCCTTGGCCCTGCGGTGTGGCGGGGCGACGTCTCGGCGGCGAGGGAGATCATTGGAGTTCAGGCGGGAGGTTTGCCCAATATGTATATGTATAAAAATATATATATATACATATGTATGGATGTGTGCATACTTAATGTTATGCACATATGTGTGCGTATGTACATGTATACCTTCAAGAGGGAAAGTACCAGTAGCTAAGGTATGTGTCCTGCCTTTGCAAAGTTCAGAGGAGGGTGATGTAGGAGGGGCTCAGGTTCGAGGAGTTCAGGGCTATGACTTTTGTTTGCGTTAGCCTTCTCTGTTTTTCTATTTCCAATTCCACCGTCGACAGTCAACCCTAAACCCTCAACCCTAAACCCCGCGTAACTGCAGGCTTGCCTATGTCGGGGCTTGGGACTGTGTAGATTTGTGGGGGAACAGCTGTTGCTTGACCTGCAGGATCTCCCTTTCCAAGACTGGTGCAAAAGGATTTGCTCGAGAATTCTCTGCGGTCTCAGGGGAATAACCCCGCACGCCCTAAATCTGAGGCCCTAAACCCGACACCCTAAACCCTAAACCCTAGCCCCGTCCAATGCAGCTGGCAAACTGGTTTGCCCCCCGCTGCGCACCGGCGCCACGTGATGGGGCGCCACCGCCGCGCAGCCTGGCAGCGAAATCCTGTAAGCCAAGCCTAGTTGACAATGACAGCAAGCCTCATGAAAAAATGATGAGAAGCCTAATGCTACTGATACTGGGCCTAAATTATAAGTCGTGTCTCCTCTGTCGACTGGAAGCCTTGAAGCCCTGAATCCTTTGGCCGCAAGAGCCAAAAGGCCGCAACACCAAGTCGAAACGCCCAAGACTGGCCCAAAACCCCGAAGACTAAGCCCCTCCCCCCTCAGTCTGCAGGCTTGTAAAGCTGTTTTGGTCACAGGCCAAAAAGAGAGGATCCAAAACTTACCCGCAGCACGTATGGTTTGCCCACACCCATTGGTTGCCCACATGGTCTGCCCAGGGTTCAGGGTTTAAGGTTGAGGGTTTTTTTGGGTTGAGGGTTTTTAGGGTTTAGGGCTTTTAGGCTGTTTAGAGTCTAGGGCTTTTAGGGCTTAGCGTGTTTAGGGTTTAGGGCCTTTAGGGTTTAGAGTGTTTGGGGTTTAGGGCTTTTTAGGGTTTAGGGCTTTTAGGATTTAGGGCTTTTATGGTTTTTAGGGTTTGGGGTTTTTGTGTTCCCAGCGCGCGGGCACACATCGCGTATACGCACACTCGCGTTGCCAACTCTGGAGTTGGCTTGATGAAGTTGCGTGTCCTGTCAAGCCTTGCGGAGTCCTGAAACCTTGGCAGGGGCGACGTTGTCGCATGTCACAAGGGGCCTCTAAAGCAATAACGCGGGCAAACCACAAGTAGTGGCCGAAAACTTAGCGGTCGGATTCTGGTATGTACGCACAGACTTCAACCCTTTAAGTAGGTTACTTTGAGCCTCAGCTTTAGGAGAGATTCCCAAACGAAAAGCCTTCCAGGCTCGGGCGGCGCCCTTGTGGCAGCTGGGCGCGGGGGCTGCGGGAGCGGCTTCCTAAAACAAGAAGAAGGGTTTACGGTTTAGGGTTTCGGGTCGGTTCAGCTTCGTTGTACGCTAGCATGAACCCTGTCAAGTAGCAAAGCACATACAACATAAATTGTAAACACTGCAGACACACACACAACTGTTTCTGTGTAATGTATATATATATATAGATGAATCAATGTGAATACGAATATGTACATATATGGATATACGTAAGGATCTAGATGTAGACCTTTAGGCATTTTGGTTTTACATACCCTAGGCTTGGCCTTGCTTGGCTACTGTATGTGCTTCGTTGTGTTGCTCTTAGTTCTGAAAGGGGGCGTTACGGGGTGAAGAAGGTCTTCTGAGCGAGAGAGCTGAAATGCTCTGAGCCTTTTGGTGAAAGGAACTAAAGGCTAGCCGTTTAGGATTGCATAGGGCTTCCGATACCCGAAAGCGTGAAAGCTACTAACTCGCCTCCAAAAGCCACAAACGAAAGCTCAGAAGCAACTCCCTGGCTCTTAGTATGGAGTTTGGGAATGCAACACCTTGAAGTATCTCCCTAATAATTTTTTTCCCCTTAAGGAATCATCTGGGGACCCGAACTGCCCTAAACCCGAAACCCTAAACCCTAAACCCTAAACCCTAAACCCGCAACCGAGCAGCACTGCCATGAGTCGGCGCATGCAATCATCCACCAGGTCTTGTGGCAACTTGTGCCGTTCCCGAAGCCTCTGTGGCCACAAGCCTACTGCATTCGTTGGTATGCATTATATGTATGTGTACAAATATCAAGTATACAAATATATCAAATATATATATATATAAGTATATAAGTATATAAATACATAAATATATAAATATAAAAATATAAAAATATAAAAATATAAAAATATAAAAAATTATATAAATATATAAATACAGTTACTAATAAATACACATAAATAAATAAATATATACATATAAATATAAATATAAATACAAATATAAATATATATATACATATTGAATCATACATGCAGTTAGGTGTGCGGGTCCATTGAAGGTCTGGTGGATGGCGGGTGCCAAGATCAACTTACTGGTGCCTAATTCCATGCATCCCGACTCAGCACTAGTGAGCCAAGGTCGAACCCACGGTTTAGGGTTAAGGCTTTAGGGCTTGGGGTTTAGGGACATGTCTGCAAGCAAAATGCATTTTGGAAGCTGCTACTGATAGTATGTACATGGGTAGTTCTCTAAGTTAGCACCTTGTTGGGACTACCTTGTGTGTACGAGTCCTTATACTTCGTGTCGCCGCACATAGGCCAGACATACTGGGGCAGCCGTGCTACGTGCGAAGCAGCTGAGGCGCGCACAGCGCGTGAAGAGGCCCTGCCTGGACGGCGGTCTCCTGAACCACGCCAGAATGCAAGGGTTTGGGGTTTAGGGTTTACATTACAGTTTCCTCTTGTAATCCTATTATGTGTAATACAATGTGCCCCTTCTATTTGTAAAAAGGCTTGCAACTGACGAGGATTCGGCCTGCCACTTCACAATCTTCCGGGTTGAGGCCTTCTACCCAGCATGGGGGGGCTCTCCGAAACCAAAGGTACCCTTTTCAGGGGTTCCTACAAATATGATTGGGAGGGGGGAGCCCCGATATTTCGGAATTGCCCGCAATACTTCTTCATGGATTCGCACAAGCGTGCTTGTCTCGCGATTCACAATCTCCCCGGATTAGAGCAGCCTCGCCCCTGCCGGGAATGGCCTCCTCACATGCATGACCTCATTTGACATTGCTGCTCTAATAATTAAGAGGCGCGCCTTTCTATTCGAAGGGCACTCAGGTGGGCCTTCGCATGCATCATGTCATGTTTGCGTCAAAATGGCCTATGCTAATAAGGTGGGCGACGTCAATCCGGTGTGTTGACACGTGACTCGCGGCCCTGTGACGGAGTCGATAGCTTCTACCCTGCGCCTCTAGCCTCAAAAAGTGGTGTCAACAACTCGCACGTTCTGCGAAAGAATTTGTAGGCGCTGTGCTGCATCTTTTTGGAAAACCAAAACGCCCCCAAGGTTCCCTTGAGCTTGCCATGGAAACTTAGACGCGGCGGGTCAGAAATTAGGGCCTCAGGCCCTATAAACCTTGAACCGGGTTGATGTTGAGGAACTTCCTGCTTTAGGGCTTCGGGTTCTAGGGTTTATCGTGGTAACTTACTTCAAGTTCATCAGTAGCAGCTTAGAGAAACACTGCCATGGGCATCGGATTTCTCAGGTCCCGAACTCATGGGAAACTATCCCTGAAGCACTCACCTGCCCCTAAACCCTAAACTCAAGCTTCTTTAACTTTAAACCCCTTGGGGCCAGCCCCAATCCAGCCTTTAAAGCCGCGATGTTCACTTCTTTCAAGGATGTGCTTGAGAAGCATGCCCTGAGTAAAGCGCACAACTGGGCTTGCAGAAGGTTTGGGCTTTGAGGGCTCATTGTCGGGCTTCGAAGGACTTGGAGTTTGGAGTTTACCCCTAAACCTTGAAGCTTTGCGGATTTTCACTTGTCGGACTATGCAGAACAGATCTTCCAAGCTTAAGGTACATGAACCCTTTTAGGGTTTATTTGGTCCAAGAAACTCTGCAAAAGCAATGCCTCCGCAAGTTATCGCAACCCCCGCTGCGCCTGGCTGCTGGATAGTTCCAATCGTCCGGCACCTTGGCTTGCGGTCGTTTAGGGTTTGGGGTTTAGGGTGTACGGTTTAGGGTTTATGATATAGGGTTTTGATGACATACAATTGGCCGACCTCCTCCTCCTCCACCACCCTAAACCCTAAACCCTAAACCCTAAACCCTAAACCCTAAACCCTAAACCCTAAACCCTAAACCTCAGAAGGGCAACCCGCTGCAATCTTTGACCTGGGCCTCCTGCCGCGTACTTCTTGCGGTCCAGGTTCCTGAGCTTCATGCACGGTGTGGCTGCAGATATGGGCATTTCCCAAAATAGAGGGGGTACCCCCTTTAAGACCCCAAATAGAAACGAACCCCTTAAAGGGAACCCCCAAATTGGTGCCCCTGTTTTCGGAAACCCCCATGGTCTCAAGATATCACATGGTGCAGATGCCATGCCACGGGGCTGAAACAGATATGTGTAGACCTGATTTCACGATCCGTCTCAGACATGCGGAATGGGCCTGAACACCAGTTGGCCTCTCAACACCCCAGCTCAACTCCACCTACTAGTACCCTTGAGGGGGAAAAAAAGTGCGATTCCAGAACTCTGGAAGAACCATGATGCGATCGTGTGGTACTTGGCAGCCCACTGATCATACAAGAACAAGGCTACCCTTTTTGTGTTGCCTCTATACAGGAACCCAGGAACAAGAAAAACAAAGGGCACCACTGGTATCCTCACTATTTTGCAACTAAAAGATCCTTAAATCCCTCAACCCTGATACCAAGCCTTGGAATGCGCTAATTGAGACCTCAACTGCGTGGTTCCCTAATGCTAGGAATTACCGAGCTAAACCCTGAACCCTAAAAAACCTAAATATCCTCAACCGAAAACCTAAACAATCTTTTTGAACCCAGACTCTTTACATCAGCTGGCTCGAGACTACCCAGATCAACCCCTCAACCTAAACCCTAAACCCTAATTAATCCCCAAACCCTAAACCCTAAACCCTAAATTCCAAAACGTAAGTAGAGCGCTGAACTATCTGAGTTCGGGGAGCTCCAGGATTGCTTCAATCGAGCGATGCTCCTGCATCAGCTTCCGGGCCGTGACGATGCCCACCTCTTTCACATTGGGTCCCAGCTGGAGTTCTAAGCGTATTTCTGAGTTTTTGTGTTTGGATATATACACGTATATACAGGTACCTATATCTACTTGTACACATATATATATATATATATATATATTTTTTTTTTGTTTGGACACTCACTGCCCGAGAACAAGGAGGCGATCGCATGCCCTCTCTCCCGCACCTTGGAGATGGTGGTCAAGTAGTCACACCCGGCGAGGATGCAGAAGTCAACCTCAGTTTCGCCGCGTGCACCCTCCAGTTATGGCCTGGGCTCCCCCCCCCCTACGAGAGGCCAAGGCGAGTGCACCTAGTGCTCGTCCGAATCTTTGTCAGGGGCGGCCCATTGGGATGCTCCCCTTATACTAGCACTCCTTCATGGGGATTATATTAAGACCTGTCAGTAAAGGGGGAACATCAGGAGGTGCCCCAGCTAAAGCTCGCACACCGCTACCGAACAAACCCTGCACTGCGAACGAGATGCAAATTCGGCCTGTGTGAAAGCCAGGGCTGCCAAGAGAGGCTGGAGTTGAATGTCCTCTCGTGTGCAAGGGCGCTATACAATGTACATATATATATATATATCTATATATATATATTGTATCCGCCGACCCCCGCTGGAGCGGGGGGAGGCGTTAGTGAAGACCCATTCTGGGTCATCCGGCCATCGCCCCACCTTTTATGGCAGCGTCAGCACCCCCCCCCTCTCATCCCATCATGCATAAAGCCAGTGTTTTGAGGGCCACCTACCTTGAATGAGGTGTTTTCCACCCCTGTGCCCCCCACCCCCCGCCCAACCACCCCCCCGCCCCCCTCCCCCCCCCCCCCCCCCCCCCCCCCCCCCCCCCCCCCCCCCCCCCCCCCCCCCCCCCTCCCCCCCACCCACTCCCGTGCGAGCTTGGAAAAGGCAGAAAGCGCTGTAAATACCGTGGTTTTCGTGCTGGCCCCCATAAGCCACGCCTGCCCTCTGCCTGCTACTCCGGGGGGCGTTGCCCGCCCCTGGGCGTAGCCCCTTAGAATTTATACTTGTTCATCTACTGATTGATGTATATATATATATATATATATACCGCAATATAATATAGGTCATATCTAAATATGTTTGAAAAATTACAAACAAATGTTGTGTGTGGCTTGGCAGATTCCCTGAACATTCTATAAACCGAAAACTCTTTGGGGCTGTCTGGTACCGATGGTGTTTGACATATCATGTCAGTGATACTCCTCTTGGTGCCTTTATCTTTCACAGGCTAGTACTACATATTAAATAACCCTAAACCCCAAACCCTCAACTGCGTGTATCGCGAATGTTGTTACAAGTAGTAATCTGGCGCCGGGGAGGTTCGTAGCCTGGATGCTGAGGACCTGGAAGAAAGGGTGTGCAGATCGGGCAGCCCCTGACTTTAACACTTTCCAAGTCGGGGAAGCTTAAAAGCCCCCTCTACTGTAAAGCCCAGCAACCATATTATATTAGGGGTACCCTTTTTGGGTTGGTTACTTTACAAGGGAACCTTGAACCAAAAAAAGGCCAAAAGGGTATAAGCCCTGTTAAACAGGCCCAGACCTTTTCGCATCTCCGTGGGTGCACAAAGCCACTTGTTTAGGATTTGGGGTTTAGGTTTAGGGTTGTGGTCATTGCGACCGGGGCATCTGCAAACGAAGAATCACCTCTTCGCTTCCCTTCGCAAAGTCAAGGCAACACAGCTGATCATTCCAAGCCAGGAATTTAAGGACCTTGTGGATTCGGATTTGTTTTTCTTCGTGGTTCTGAGGCTTTTGGGCTTTAAGCTTTGCCTCAGAAGGCTTTGGGTGTAGGCCCTGCGAGGCCCTGGAACTTGAAAATCAAGCGCTCCTGCACCAGTGGAACTTGTGGCGAGGCTGCAGCTCTATGGAGGTTCCTGAAAGTTAGGTTTAGGGCTTAGGGTTTAGGGTTTAGGATTTAGGGTTTAGGGTTTGGTTGGTTTGTAAACGAGCCTGTAGGAGATTGCAGGAAGGGGTTGCGGGGTGTGGGGCTATACTGTTTGGCTCTGGCGGTGTTCGGCCGGCATCGTGCGAATCAGGCTTGCAGGCCGTGCTTTGCAGCTAGCCGAAGATCATCCATGCCGGTTTAGGGTTTAGGGTTTAGGCTTTAGGGTTTCATGCCGATACCATTTTGTCTTGGCTTCTGTTTGTCTCCAACTCCACCTTCCGGGGGTTGCAGAATCCAACCCGGCGGTCCGACTGAACTCTCAGGGCGACACAGGAGTTTCAACAAAAGGCAACCCCCTCGACTGGGTTTTTGTTTTGCCTCCCCGGGGCTTGGGGCGTAGGGCTTAGGGCTTAGGGGAACCGCCTCAATAGCCGTGGTGTCCCAAACACCAGAGCGTCGAAGTCCTGGGCAGACGATAAGCCACTAAGCCCAGAGGTCTATTGCAAGTCATGCAAGCTCGGTGAGGGCACACGCCTAGTGTCAGATCATGTCTCATCACAGTTGCAATGGAAGATACAATGGCCCGCCATCCACTACAAGCAATTCTTGGGGACGAAATCAACCCTGAAATTATGGGTCATATACCCAAAACTACTATAGTGCCTATTCAGGTATATGAACCACAACCCCTTTTAGGTCATATACCCTATACTGCCATAGTCCCTATTCATGTATACCACAAACCAATTTAGGGTTCATGTAGTTCCCAAGGATGAGATTAAGCTCGGCCTAGCTGTTGACCGTGGCGGTGTAGCGCCATGCCAACCCACTCCCACGTAATTTGAAGGCACATAGAGAGCCCAACATCCCCTCAACTAGGGAATATACCTCAAAATATCTACCAGTAGGTATCCTTAACATGGCTTAAGGTCTCTTCCTTGTTTCAAGGGGTATGGGGGGCCCTGTGAAGGCATAGCTCTCATCAGCCTCGACCCTTGCATAGTAGGGGCCCGCAGCTCTCAAAAACAAAACTGAAAACACAATGACACGGCATTTCTCTGTACAATGTCACGCCCGTGTTTAACAATGCTTGGGCGGGTACCCCTAAACCCTAAACCCTAAAGCCCTACAACTAATGGATTGCATCTGGTCATGTGACACTCTCAGGAGGTTTTGGGCTCAGTGGGACGGCCTGGGGCTCAAAAGCATCTGGCAGAAGCCCTCCGAGCTCAACATCGATTAGCATCTGCAGCCTTTCCACTTACCACGTTCTCCCTAGACGACAACTCGAGAGCGGGTGTGCTGGGCTAAAACTCCTTACAGCTTGCGTCCAGTGCTTTGGAGCTAGCGGAATCCCGAAAGATGGCGCAAGGTGCCTCAGAAAAGGCCGTCATTCAAGGGCAGAGATAAACGAGTCCAGCGGCTTCACCCACCCGCAAACTGTACCCAGCTCAAGTACCGAAGCCCCATCATCAGCACTTCGCCCCAGCCCAAACCTCTGCTTAGAGGCTCATGGTACTTATTAACCAATAACTGTACTTATAACCCATTTGTAAGTGCCCGAATCTGGTTATTCTTGGGTTACAAGTACAGTTAGTATTGGGTTGATAAGTACCCCAACCCCCTAAACCCTAAACCCTAATTAACCCTAAACCCTAAACCCCTGCATCCCAGCTGCTTCGGTCGCCGCAGCCTGGGCGTGACCGGCCGCGGCCAATTCTGCACAGAGCGCTTCTGCCTGACATCCCCAAGAGCCCAATATCCCCGTAAATACGGAATATACCTGAAAGCATTACTATTATTATTCTTATTATTCTTCTTATTCTTGATATTTTCAATATTAAGGATCCTTATATATTTTAGAGTATAATCCTTAATTCAGAGGTCTTGGGCTACCTGGGTCCGTCCATCACAAGACATGAAACCTAAAAGGGGTTTATGGCTCCTCTACCTACCTTAACAGGGATTATCGTGTAGTAGAGGCGTGCCCAGAGAGCCTAATATACCCCTTGATGGAGCTTTATGTCTTAAATCATACAGGGATCCTTAACATGGTTTAAGGTACCCTAAACCCCTGAACTAAGGAATTTACGCTTCAATTATACAGGGATCCTTCACATGGTTTAAGGTGCATTCCTTTTGCAAGGCAATACTTGGAGGTTCATGGGTAGTTATAAGTAGAGTCATAAGCATGGTAACTATACTTAGAATTCCATTTAGGGTACTTATAACCCCTACTTATAACTACCCATGAACCTCCAAGTAAGCCTCAAACCCCGGGCGCCTCCCCAGGCGCCTGCACGGCGGGTACGCCCATGAAGCCTGAGCGCGTGTCAAGATCCCATACTTGGAGTTTCACTTGTAGTTACAAGTAGGCCCTGGGTTTAGGGTTTAGGGTTTAGGGTTTACGTAGGGTTAGAAGTACCCTAAGAAGGGGCTGGAAGTAGAATTACCAGACTTATAACCCTACTTGGAACTACCCATGAACCTCCTCGAGGCGCTTGCTTCTTTTAGCGTAGCTTTGGCTGAGGTTCAATATACATGCATAGGCACAAGCAAAGCAAGAAACATACAGATTTCAGATACATACACACATGTGTATAAGTGAAAATATGCACAACCTTACCAAACCCTAAAAGAATCTAAATACATCAAGTCAAGACAGGAAGCGCAGCAACTCCATCGCTTCGTCATTGTGCCGTGGAGTGGTTTTCACCAACCTCCCGTGCAAGCTGACGAACCGGCTTTAGAAAACCCTAAGCAAAAACACCCTAAAACCCAACCAAGGCCATCTGTTCCTGTCTGCTGGTTATGTAGTTACAAAAGGCAGAACACAATCTTGCTTAAATAGCACAGTTCGGACTTCAGCGTGTAGCTTTCATGAAATTGCTGGGGAGGCCGTGCGACCTCCCCCCCAGAAAACTGGAACATCGTGGAGAAGCACCGGTGGTGCCTACATCGGAGGTGTACGGGTAATTAGGAGTATGGTAATAAGTAAGAAGTACCCTAAGTGGGGCTATAAGTATACTGTATACTTTAAACTTTACCCTTCTTGTAACCCTACTTAAAACTACCCATGAACCTCCAGGTACATTGGTGCCAGCCCAAAAAGATGCAGCAATGCGGGGTCCGAACCAAAGACTCCACGCGCAGAAGGTTTCGGATGGTCCCTTGTCCTACCTCGCATCGAAAGTGCAACCTTCACCTTCAGGCAGCTACCCACAGCCCCTCCCAGAAAACGATCACGACCACGTGCATAGGGTAGTTCTCAAGACCCGAGCTAGGTCCCGCAATGGTCCGCACTCCGCTGCCTTTTCAGAGTTCGAGAGCTTACCTCGCCTTGCAACATGACGCTTGACGCCCTCGTCGTCTCCGGCAGCCTTGGCCTGGGATTCGGACACAGGATGTCTAAACGGGACTGCAAACCTCGGACTGGCCTCTACTTGGAGGTTCATGGGTAGTGATCGGAAGGGCTAAAAGCATGAGATTAATACTTTTACCCCCCGTCTCAGGGTACTTACAACCCGACCTCGAACTATGCATGAACCTCCTAGAAACCTGTCCCTAAACCCTAAATCCTTTTGCTGAGAGGTTGTCCGCGCCTCCTCCAGCTGCTCGCGCGACCGCGCGCGAGACTGCTCGCGCTGGGCCAGTGCCTGGTTTACTTGGCTGGCGTCTTGCGATGAGGGCTTGTGCACGGCTGCTCTCTGCGTTTGCTTGTTGGTTCTTGAATACTTTTCAAAGGGTGCCCTTTTTTTGGTTCAAGGGGCTTAGAAGGGAACCCATTACAGCTGGCCCTAGGTTCTTGAGAAAGAATCAAGGAAGTGACATCCTCAACTACGGTTTTTTGGCACGAAGGGGGTTTAGGGTTGGGATGTCGGTCCATCAGGTTTGCAGGGTCCAGCATGCAAAGGGTCAGGTTTTCAAATTTGGCCCTAAAACCTAAACCCTAAACCCTAAAAACAGAAGCGAACCTTCCCGCGCCGCGTGCTCAGGCGTGCCTGTCAGACCCACAGCAACGAAGTCCCGACACTGTCATCATGTACCCGTTGCTTGAAAGCCCTGCCTAAGCCCTTTGTCTCAAAACCTACCTTAAGAACCCCAAACCTATACTTTCGTAGGTTACTCATGTAACAAAATGTAGGATTCTTAGGTAACCTGCACAAACAGTAGGTTTGAAGTAGGTTTGGGGTTCTTATATAAGGTATTACCAGAGTTGCCACCGAAGGCGCGTGAGCCTTTTTGAGCTCCGGGGCAGCACCTTATCCAAATTGGGTTTAGGGTTTAGGCTTTAGGGTTTAGGGTTCTCCAAATTAGGGTCCCTTTCTGGGATCCCTTTTTAAAGGGTGCCGCCTTATAATGGGTACCCAGAAAGGGACCCTCATTTAGGAAACTACCCACATGAGGATACGCGAAAAGCCCTGTTCCAAGCGGATAGCCCTGACAGGATAACCCTGAATCACCCCGAACTCAACACCGAGCCAAAAACGCAGCAGAACCGAACCCTGCCAAGCTGCCGACTCCCTACTCCCGAAGTGCCACGTCGAATCCACTTCTCCAGCTTCACAATATTGATAACATTAACAACATTAACAATATTCACAAGAAAAAAGAGATAAGAAGAGCAATAATACCAAGGGTACTAATAACACAGCTACCGTGTTGTGGGCACAGGAAAACAAGTTCAGGTACCATCCTGGATTCTAGTGGCAGAGTGGCTTCAATGGAAGGTCGTTGTCTTGCATGGTAGGGTTTTAGGGCTTGGGGTTCTTCTCAACCATTTTCTTAACCGTTTTGGATCCAGTTGACATTGCATCAGGCAGCAAGATCGCCACTTTGCAGCTCTTGTCGTGAACTCTTTATAAGATGTGAAGGACCCACCCTCATTCAGACTAACCCCCATGGTATCCCATGGTACTTGTGCACCGCCATGTCGGGCTTGCATAATAAGCTACGCAAACTTTCTGATCCGACGAGTGGGTGCAGCAAGGCTGCCGTCGAACACAAAGATGGGCTTGAACCCAAGCTCCAGCAGCCTTCGTCTGAGGGAAGTGAAAGTTGCGCTGTGGTCTCTACAACCCTAAACCCTAAACCCTAAACCCGAAACCCTACTCTACAGTACCTGCAGCTACCGAGCTCGTGGCCCTTGAGTCGTCCCGCAAGAAAGGTTGGGGGGGCTCTGAGATCTTTAGTCCGAGCCCTGCTTTGTAGCAAGAAGCTACCATGAAAGAAGGAAGAAATCTCAAACCCAAGCACGGCTCCATCGCACGTGTGCCTTACCGTCCGCCGCAGAAGCCCGGCAATATGACCTCGGTCACAAGAAAGAAGCATCAAGCACCCACTGCCCTGGGGCCCACATGAACCCTATCATGTACCCTATACTACTATAACCCCTGCTTGAGGTGTAATTATGAACCAGAAACCCTAAACCCTATATACCCTGTGCTACTATACTCCCTTCTTGAGGCAATACAAACCCTAAACCCTTTTAGAGTTCTATCTGAAAAACTATTCCTGAACATGATCCTCTTAAACCCAAAACGGGAAAACGCAGAATGTCTCCAGGGCCTACCTCGAGTTCATTTGGCCCCCAAAAGGATCTTGCTGAACCTGGCCTCCGATGACTTAAAGCACAGACCTCTTTGTTCAATCTCGGGGCCTTGGGGTTTAGGGTTTCTATAAAAACCCAAAGAGGGTTTGCAAAGAGGGTTTTTTTAATGAAAAAACCTTGTTTGTGTTTAGGGTTTCGAGTTTCGGGGCTAGTGGAGGGGTCGGCTTGTGCCTGGCTATCCCGCCAACAAACGACATCCTTAGGGACCGAATGAACCCTGAAAGGGTTCATGGTTCATATGCCTTAGCTAGGGAGTTACATGAGTATGCAGTAGGGCACGTGACCCTAATTTTAGGGTTCATGTGGCTGTTCCGCGTAGGGTATTTGGGGCTTAGGTCTTCCGTTTGTTCGAGCTGCTGGTGTCCTCTGCGCTGCCAGGAACGGCGCCCGCAGGGGTGTCGCCCATTGCCTCAAGCTAGAGGATCTATATTCAGGGTTTAGGGTTATGTTGTGTTTGTTGAAGGGATGTAGGTCTTCGCAGAACTTGAAGCGCCTTTGACAAGCTGGACTGGTGAATGCGCGGAGTCAAAAGGGCAATAAAGACAGGCTGACAGGCTGCCACAATCTCTGAGCTCAGACGAAGCCTGAAGAAAACCTTCCGCTGTCTGCAAGCAGATGGGCAGTGAGGCATTGGTACAGGCACGGACTGGCGTCGATTGCGACAGTAGTGCCCTGGCATGGCGTGCATCATCAGAAAAGTGAAGGCTTCACAAATCAGGCGTCGCCTTTGCCTGTGAATAGAACGCAGTCCCTGTTATCTTTAAAAAGCACCTTGCAGGTCATGGCTGGTCTTGGGGAGGGGGGGAGGGGGGGGAGCATATCAGGGCTCTGCCCTCAGCACAAAAGCTGCCGGGGGTCCCTGAACCGTCTGAACCCTCAAAACCCAAAGCATGTCCTTGTACTCATTTGCACATCGGTGACGGCTCATCTCATCCTGTTTCAGAGACCAAGACCAACAGCGCACCCATGCACAATACATGGTGATGCAAACAAGCATGTCGCATCAGGTCTTCATCAAGGTGCTGGAGCTGTGCATGGGAGGCCCATTTCTGAAAGCTCACATCTCAGTATAGTCGGTAAAGGCTTCGGCACATGCTTCAATTCAGCCAATTGAGGCTGCACTTCCATACTATTCTACTATGCCACACCCAACGTGGCATGCCAAGAGCATTACAGCTTGCAGCTGCGTGTCTGGGGCAGACGTCTTCAAGTACTTGCCCAGCTGCTTGATGCCCATGGCCCTGGCAGCAATGATTCTTGCACAGCAGTGGGGCAGCCGAGGAGCCTCAGCCCCGAATTTGGCTGGGCCCAACAGGCCTGCAACCCTACTGTGATTCTGGGACCCCCGCAACCATTGATGAAAAAGGACTTTCTCCTCTTTGTAGCATTGGCTAGTTAACCCCTAAACAGTGGAGATCTGAATTTTTGCTTCACCATATTCATCCCGAAACCACTTCGCCCCTTGACAACAGCCAGGACAAACAACACGAAAGCATGCGAACTCCTTGGCTCAGCTTAACAAGGCGGAATTGAGGTACAAGCACCTGGGGTAACAGGGAATGCACTATAGAGGGAGTATTTTATATAAGGGGCGGGGCGGGGCTAATACTAGGGGGAGGGAGTATTTGTGCTCTCTCCTAGCCAACGGCTACATTGAACCCTAATCCGCAGCACAACATCCCGTAAACCCTCAAACCTAAACTGGAAACATAGCGCACCCAACGGAGGGGAATAGCAATCCAGGCCTCGTGCCGCATGCTCGGCCCAAGCATGTGGCCCGGACGGCTGCCAACGCTGAGATCCAAAGGACAAAGGTTGGGGGCAACTGATCATGCACACGTGCCCAAAAACCCCTAAACCCTAAACCCTAAACCCTCTGCCCCGTTGCCCAAAGATGCCCAAAGCCCAAGCCGGCGGAGCCGGTTGAAAAAACCCTGTATTCTGCGAAAATGCCAGCTGTCTCGGAAATGCCGTTCTTGCGGACCCATTTCTCATGAGGCTATTGGTTGGAACCACCCTGATTCTTGATGCCTCGTAAAGGGAGCCGAGACATGTAGGGTTCAAAGGAAGCTTATTGAAAAAAGTCCGCATGTTTCTGTCTTGAAGCATCTTACAGAATCGAGGCGACTATATTCTTGTCTGTGCCGTGGTAGTTTCGTGGTTGCCACACAAATGCCAAGCCGATCCCACTTCAACAATTTGATCAAGGGCGCTTTGTCTATGGTAATTGAGCGAGTTTGAGAGACATTTAAGCAATGCACATTTTGCCTGAAGCGTGAGCATGCAGAGTGTGCAACGCAACCAATAGGATTTCCCAGCCATGTGGGAAGCCATCACCACGTCGCCAAGCCAGAGCCGACCCCCGGCGGGCGTTCAACCAAGCAACTTCCTACAGGTTTAGGGTTTAGGGTTTAGGGTTTAGGGTTTAGGGTTTAAGGCAGTAAACCCCCAAAAGTTAGAACATCATTCTCCTCATACCCCAAGAGGGTTACTAAAGGGAATCCCAGCACTAATCGTCCTTAAACCACGTTCCAACTTTGTGGAGCTTACTGTAAGGTATACCTGGAGAAGCGTTTTGCTTTTCAAGGGCACTTAAAAACAAAACACTTCCCTTGCTTTATGGTTCTAAAGGTTGCTCTAGGTAGGGTTTATTGGGGATCTTTCGTATTCGAGCATAGAACCCTTGGCCCCTCCTCGCCCCCCCCCCCCCCCCTCAAAAAAAAAGAAAAAGAAATGAATAGAGGTTACCTACCCGAGCGCTGAGTTGGCGGAGAAGGGTTCAGGGTCTTTGCCAGGACAGTGCCTGGTATAACTTTCCAAGCTGACCTTGTGCCAAACCGCCGACCCCGTACCCGGCACTCAAGTCCGAACATAAACGACTGTCAACCTAACCAGGAAACCCTAAACCCTAAATCCTAAACACTCTAAACCCTTTAACCCTGCTTGAAGGGATCGGCCGAGGCCATCGAGAGCAAACACAGACTTGCCATGAGGGTGACACCATGGTGCAGTGACGCAGCCAGCGTGTCATAGGGAACTACTCCCAAGGAGCCCTGAAGCCTCAACCCTATTCAGGTTACAAGAGAATCCTTGACTTACCCCCCCCACCGCCCCCCAACGCCAAGGAGCCCCAACCAAAAAACGGCCCAACAACCCTGCACTGAGCCGAAATATGCATAAGGATCTCAGAAGACAAAAAACCTTCTGTGCCACCAGGGCTGCGCAGCAAAACGCCCCAAACCCCAAACCCCAAGCCTAAGCTGTTCTAAACATCGGACCGAAACCCAAAGGAGGGTCCAGGCGGCTTTGGAGTTCAACAGGCTTGAGTTCAAGGACGCCAATGCATGTGAACATCATGTTGGTATCTTCTCTAAATCTGGTCCCTTTTGGGATTTAGGGTTGAGGCTGTTGAGGATTCTAAGGCGGCCCCGAATATGTAGGGTACCCAAAAAGGGACCATAATGTTGAGACTGACCATGTCGAGTGCTATGGGAGCTTCGGCTGCTGAAAGCGGAGTGCGTTCAAGACATCTCATCTCTAGTTTGAGCATTTGGGCTATACAGGTTTGCCTGGCACGTCGGGAGCCCACCAACCCTTAGGTCGTGGGATTCTCTGCGACACAGCTGGCTGAGACGTGCGTTGTGTTATACTGCGTTCTCTGGATTGCTTGGACACGAAAAGTTGGGCCCCGAAGCCTCATGCACAGTGGTCTCTGAGCCCAAAACACTGCAATGCCCCTCGGCTTTGAGGTTTAAGCACATTCAGTTTGAAGTCACGTTCGCATTCCCGGCTTCGCACCCAAACCCTGAGGCCCTACAAACTCATCGCGCCGATCGAAAGAGAACTGTGAAACTCGTGCCCAGGTGCACTCCTGCCGGGCTTTCCCGCACGGTGATGGGGCCGCCGGGCAGGTGTCACATTTCTGTCCTGTATTCTTGAAAGGCCGCTTTCAATTTTTCTCGTGTCGCCCGCTGGCTCTTGTTGTTCCGTTGCTTTGCTTCTTTTCTTTGGGCTACTGTATAGGGGTCAGGGAGTCGCAGATTGCGCTCTCCCTCTCACTCTCTCTCTCTCGCTCTGCTTCTTCTTCTTCTTCTTCTTCTTCTTCTGCTTCTTCTGCTTCTTCTTCTGGGCTTGAGGGGGACCCGGGGGCCTCCCCCGCGCGCACGAGCGCCCGAGCTCGTTGTCCAGTGTGACACTATAGGGTCCCTGGTTGGTTCTCCCTTTGATTTTTGTGACACGATGATGGTTAGCTGTTTCATCCGAAGTAACAAAGGCCAACTAAAGCTCTAAGCTCTGCCCCCAAACTCTCTCTCTCTCTCTCCTTCACGAGGGCTTTTTGCTTGAGGGACGGAAATGTGTAAGCTGGCCTCTCTTCTGATGTAAAGCAGATTCCCGTTGGCGCATGTATGCGCGAATTTGCGTATGTGTGTTTGCGTGTGCATTTATTTCTCCCTCGCTCTCTGTCTCTCTGTCTGTTCTTCAAGCACATGAGGGAAGGAGTTTCCCCCCCCCCCCCGCTTGCGCTCCCGCTTTTCACGCTCTACTAATTAAATTGGGGTTCTGGTAGGCAGATAGTTGCAGGACCTAGATTCAGAGAAACCTCGTATTTCTCGCGCTTCTGCAGGGCTAGTACGCCGCTCTCTCTCTCTCTCTTCTTCTCTTGCTGGGCCTCCTCTAGGGGGGCCTCGTCCCGCGAGCGAGCCCAGTGGTCTCAGCACACACAATTATTCTTCACCTCCTCCTGCTCTTCTTTTTCTTCTTCTTGTCCTCCTCCCTTCTCCTTCTCCTTCTCCTTCTCCTTTTCCTTCTCCTTCTCCTTCTTCTTCTACTGCACACACTGTCTCTCTCTCTCTCTCTCTGGCTCTCTTGCTTTCCTGTTATTGTATTTGTTTTCTCTCTCTCGCTCTCTCACAGAGTCCTTCAGAGCTGCAGCCCTCTCCACGTCCCAAGAACACGGGTCTGGCCGGCAGCTTCTTGAACCCCCCTCCACCGAGCATTTCGTACGACAAGAGAAGCGCAGATTCGGTGAGACATCAGGGGAACCCCAACTTAGGCTTCGACGTTAGTAAATTAGGCTGCCGAAGCCACAACAACAATGCGACGTCACGTGTCAAGTCAGCGCAATCTCACCACTTGTGATGTCTTGCCAGCCCCTTTTCAATATAAACCTTTAAAGGGAAAGCTCCCCCGCGCTGCGGACGCCACTGGTCAACGCAAGCACAAATGAATTCAACTTCTGAACTGGAGCTGCTTGGAGGGGCTCTGAACCTTAGGCCGAAAATGTGTAGGTGCGCTGTGACCCTCGAATTTCTTGAGAACAGCTCATTGCATATCCAAAAAGCCGTTGTTCAGGTCCTCTCCAAAAGAATCTTTCTCCAAAAGCACAGGAGCTTGAGCAGCACAGGGAAGGCTTGGCGCGAGTAGAATGCGCGCATAGCATGTAGAGCCCGCACCCCACGCCCTGAGCCTCTTTTCCTTGGGGACCACATGAACCCCAAAAGGGTTTGTGGCTCTACCTTAACAGGGATCATAGTGTGGTAGAGGCGTACCCGGGGAGCCCAATACCCCTTAGTTAAGGAGTATACCTTAAATCACATTAAGGATCCCTGCATCATTTAAGGTGTCGTCCAAGGATTATTGGGCTCTTTGGGTATATGCCCCCCCCCCCCCCAATTTTAGGGTTCATCTGATCCCCAAGGTTGTTACTGCACGGTGCAATACCTGGACTTCTCAGGCCGTGGAAGATCGTCGTCGATGACAACACCTGGGCTTGGTTCTGGGGCTGAGGGTTTTTTAGGGTTTGCAGGGTCTATCGGGTTTATAGGGTCTAATGGGCTTATAGGGTTTATAGGGTCTCATGGGCTTATAGGGTTTATAGGGTCTATCGGGTTTATAGGGTTTGTAACGTCTAGGGTTTAGCTTTTCATGGCTTTTTCCAGTTACAGCAGTTACAGAAGCGGCGCCGGCCTGCTAAACGCGAGCTTTGCGGAAATTTTGCTAAGGGTTTAGGGTCTACAAGAAGGTTGGGGTTTAGGGTTTAGGGCTTAGGGCTTAGGGTTTAGGGTTTAGGGTTTAGGGTACAAGAGGTACAAGAAGGCTTCAAGAAAAGGCTACTTGGAGGTGCATGGGTAGGTAAAAGTAGGGTTATAATAAGTACCCTAAGTGAGGTTTTTCGTACAGGCACCTAGCGCCCCAAATTATCCAAAAAGCTGCACAACATCTCCCCGAAATTCGTTGATCCGCAACACCATAGCCTATCACTATTTAAACCCTAAGCCCGAAACCCCCTTTTAGGGTTTAGCGTACTTCCTCCACTGCCCAGCCACCCGTTTGTAGGTCCTTCCTCAGCTTGGGCTCGCCCTGAGGCATGGCTGCTTTGAACTAAGGTCCGGGCCAAATGAGCCATAAAAAGGGTCGCTTAGGGTTGAGGCGCTTAGGGTTGAGGGGTTTAGGGTTTGGGGTTAAGGTTTAAAACCCTAAAAAAGAATTTTTTGCCACCCGCAAAGCAGACACGCCAAATTTGGGTTTAGGGTTTAGGGGGTCATCGGGGTTATAGTAGTAGAGTGTAGAGTAGAGGGTACATGACCCAATGTTACCGTTCATTTGGTCCCCAAACCCTAAACCCTGAAACGTCCAATAATCAAACTTCGTGAATAGGGGAGAGGGGGGGGGGGGGGGACCTTCGAACCTCATACGGTTGCAGTGGCCGCAATTCACAACCGCAGAAACATGCGAAGGGCCCAGTGGCTGGCTGAGCTGTGAACACAGAGAAATGGCCAGTTCTGTAACAAGCGTTTCAACCATCTCCCGGCTGCCACGAACCCCCGAAAGCGGACAGCCACGGCCGAAACCATGAAAACCCTAAACCATTCCGGCCTTGCTCAGCAGCTCAAAGGTACATAAAGCTCGGGCCAGTTCAAGATGATCTGGGAAGTTCAGGGAGTCAAAGCCATAGGCTTTGCAGGGGTTAGAGTCTAGGGGGTTGGGGGATTCGGCCAGGGAGCCAAAGGCATGGGTTTTTGTAAGGGCTTCAGGAACCTTATGAGACCCTGAAGGGTGTACTTCCTGGGTGTGGAAAGGACTTGGTTTAGGGTTTGGTTGAACAAGCAGTGGTCTTCGGGCATATCACAAGTTGTCGGTTTTTCGTGGCATCTACAGACAGCAGCCGCCCCTGCAGTCTGCAACACTGCGCTTGTTGCCAAAGCACACTAAGCTGGGACTCCACTAGTACCTGCACTCGCGTGCGCATCAAGGACTGCAATTCAGGTCCATTGCTCCATTGAAGACTGGGCCACCTGCCAGAAGTCGCGGACATGTTCTTTCTTGAGCGAGGGCTTATCTATCCGGCTAGATATGCACTCCATCGCACTCCAGCCAAGCTGCTCAAAAGCCCGTTTCCCGACACATCCGCCTTGCAAAGGCTCGCGCGTTAAAGCTGCCTAACAGCCCCACGCCATTGTCGAATGACTATGCGAGCTGCCGCAAACACTTCATACAGCACACAAGAGCATGATCAAGAGCATGCGATGCGCGAACCCCTCGAGACACTCCACTCTTCCACAGAAAGTTGACCATCGAGGCATGTAGCTGAAAGCGCTAGGAAACAAAATGCAGACTTCCAGAACCGCAAATCAGGCTTTGCTTGCACCAGATGCAACTCATCAAGCCCTAAACCCTAACCCCTAACCCCTAAACCCTGAGCAGCTCCAGAAGCTTCATTGGCAAACTCATTTCCTCGATTGTTCGACGCATTGTGTGACGCGTTTCTCGACGTCCAAGATAGACTTTAGGGTTTAGGGTTTATATAGGGCTTGCAACAAGGCTTCTTTGCCCGCTTGGCTGAACTGAACGTCCACATTGCAGGGAATTTGCATTGAACCCGTCTGTGCACTGCAACAGGGTTTAGGGTTTTGGGGCTTTGGACCCTCGCACTCGCACACGGCCGGCAAGGTTCTGGGTTCGCAGCCTGCGCTGAATTCGCGCAGGGTTTAGGGTTTAGGGTCCAGAGTGCTCAAAAAAAAAAACAGGTACCTGTGGCGTTTTGGATTTACCACGAATCTCTGATAGCCCGCCTCCCGCATCACCCACTGCGTGATCTGCGAATTCACCGGCCTACGATTCGTCGCATCGAGGATGTCCTGGCGAGCAGCTGTAGATTGCTGCCACCAGCTACACCACATGGTGATTTCTCTAAATTATGGTCTCCTTTGGGGTCCTTGCTATAATTAAGGCGGACCGTGATATTTAGGGTTCCTTAAAAAAGGACCATAAGTTAGAGAACTGACCACATCAGATTAGTAGTATATAAGGGCGTCCAGCATCAGAGACCGGATCGACTCCCCAAGAGACTGTGCAACTCTTGTCTTAGGGTTTAGGGTTTGGGGTTTAGGGTTTGGGGGGGTTTGGGGTTTAGGGTTCAGGGTTTAGGGTCTGCCGTGATTGGGCGGCTGGAAATTTGCCCCCGGTCCCCGGGGCAGGTCAGATGTTATTCCGATGCTACACCTTGACGTTGTTAACCCTAAATCCTAAACCCTAAACCCTAAACCCTAAATCCTAAATCCTAAACCCTAAACATGCACCTGGCATGAAACCAGAAAGTTGCAAGCCGTCGCACCGGCTGTGGCGCGAACTGAATCTGCTGAGGCCCTCCCCAAGACCTGAAGCACACCCATGCCGCAAGCACCGACATAGTTTTTTTATAGCTCTCACTAGAACTACTATATAAGATGTTACTGTATTAATTCTTGCATATTCTTCATATTACCGGTATCTTGATTCTGATATACGATTACATGATTCTTCTGAGTGCCCTCGCGCTCCGCAGAAGTGCACATGCTCATCTACACGTCGCGCACGCACACACACACACACACGAGAAGGACTCGCCCCCCTAATTCCTACACCCTGGACCCTAAACTCTCTAAAAGCTACCAACCCCAGAGTTCTGCACATCTCCTGTAGCTCCGCGAGGTCGATCTGATTATCAGAGTCCTTGTCGAACTTTTGGGCTAAGTTCTGCACCTCGAAGGGTTTAGGGTTTAGGGTTTAGGGTTTAGAGAAGTTCTGCAGCAGAATGGGGCTTAGGGTAGAGGGCAGCTGTCTCTTCCTCGGTTGGCACTTAAAACCCCTCAGAAATATATTCCTAAACCCTAAGCCCCTCGGACGATGGACTCCAAAAAAATTCGAAAAGCCAGACCCTCAAAAATGTGTTGAAACCAAGTCCCGCGCCAGCTGTTTCTGCTTCATGAACCTGAGCTTGAGGGATCCAAGGGACGACGTGTTCATGGTTTTGGCTTTCGTGTCTCCGTGTGGGACACGTGTGTTCGCTCCGCATGAAGTCGCAGAAACCCGAAAGAGCAAAGACTATTGAGCGGCATTCTTCGTGAATGCGGCTGACAAGAAGGTGAACCCCGACCTTATCATTAACTGTACTGCAGGCTGCTTTCCGGCTTTCCTATTCATGGAGATTCAATGGAGATGGTTATATTCTCATATATCATATGATTGCACAATTATATCAACATATGACTATTATATTATTAGGTTATATGATAGTATCATGCATTGATAGTACTACATTATATTCTCTTCTTGCTTATGGTTATAGTATTCTTATACTGTTGAGTTACTCTTACTATTTTTAATCGTCAAATGTTAATATAAGCTATATTTATAAACATTTCCGATTAGTATCTCACTATGCTATTCTAGTATTTCGCAGAACGACAAAGCGTGCAAACCCTGCGCCGGATCAGACGAAGAGCTCGCCCCAGGCTCCCACGATGCCCATTATCTGGCAGAAGAGGCAGGCTGCAAACCGTTTAGGGTTTCGGGTTTAGGGGTTTTCCCTGAACACACGGGGCAATTCTCTGAATCACGTCCCCTTTGAAACTCTTATTCTGCTGCGGAGCCTTCGATGTTAGAATACTGCCCGCGGGTGGATTCCAGCTTGGTAAAACCTAGGGAATTTATCACAAGCTTTCAAGACCTGCAGCTTTGCGAAGTCCTACTTGTTGATATCGTTCGTGATCTCCAAGTAGAGAGTGCGGTGGCGCAAGGTGTACAGCGGCACACAGCTACTCACACCACAATTATGGAGAGGTTGCCCTAAACCCTAAACCCTAAACCCTAAACCCTAAACCCTAAACCCTAAACCCTAAACCCTAAACCCTTTTTGCCACTGGACTTGGGGACTAGCCAGATCAGAGCCCCTGGCTGTATTAGCTGAGGGCCGGACTTGCAACAGCAGAGATGGACACACAAACAGTCTCACACTCGTGACAGCGAGACCCTGTACACTTGTAAACCCTAAACCCTAAACCCTAAACCCTAAACCCTAAACCCTAAACCCTTTTTGCCACTGGACTTGGGGACTAGCCAGATCAGAGCCCCTGGCTGTATTAGCTGAGGGCCGGACTTGCAACAGCAGAGATGGACACACAAACAGTCTCACACTCGTGACAGCGAGACCCTGTACACTTGTAAACCCTAAACCCTAAACCCTAAACCCTAAACCCTCATCTGGGCCGGACCGGGGTGGTCAAGATCAAGCGGGTCATCGCAGGCTCGCCTCATCCCGATCGATCACGCCATCTGGCTTCGTGTCGAAGAGGCCTCTGCACATGACTTTCAACTCTTATATTATATATTACACATTATATATTATATATGATGTATTATATAATATATATATATATATATATATATATATATTCATATGTTATCACGGACCGTATAAAAGCCTTAGTAGCCCCTGATGCCACAGCGGTCTCCGAAATCGCCGCAGCATTGACGGCAGCAGACAGGAACAGTAAACCTTTCTCAGCATCCACCCCTAAACCCTAAACCCTAAACCCTAAACCCGAAACCGAAACCCTAAACCCTAAACAACCCCCCCCCCCCAAACGAGCAGGCTTTCGGGAGTCCCAGTCGGGAAGTTTTCAGCACTCTCTCGCGGGCCCCACAGCGGTACTTTCCAGTTTGCTTCAAGTGTTGGTACTAGGGTTTAGGGTTTAGGGTTTAGGGTACGGCTTCCGAAACGTAAGCACTGGCATGCTTCATCCCACAAATGCACTGCAGAAAGCGCGCACAACCGTGAACAAGCCGAGGTGCGGAAAAGAAATATCAAGTCTTCGGCCGAGGGCTGCACCTGAAGCGAGGGTACTGTGCGGAGGTTGGTGCAATAGCCGTTCTTCTAGTCAGTGACTGCAAGAAAGTCCCCTTCATTTCCACTGGTGTCACAAACGAGTTTCAGGAAAAACGCAAATGATAGAGTTTAGTTGAAGCCCTTGACATTTGGACCTTGGAATTGCTCATGAATCTACCACAAAGGTTTGCTAGCCTCTCTTGGGCTGACATGTTCCGTGTTCCGGTGTCTGGAGTGCACACACACACACACAACAAGGGCTGTGTGTGTCACACGCTCGTCTTGCATCCTGAATGTCAGTGCTCTGGACAGACCCGATGCTCTCCCTAAGCCCTGTTCAAATGCCTGCTGCATTCTCGAATCTGTCAATTCAGATGGTCACTCCTATACTTCCCTTAACACCTTAATAGAAACAACACATCTGATTTTACAAAAATACAAAATAATTCCCAAGGGGGGATAAAGACTCTGCAACTCGCACCAAGGCCTCGATCTTGAAGCGATGCTGCGAGTAGTCGCGGAGCATCCGCTTCAGCTCTTTTGGACCTCCACAGGCATGGCTAGGGATGGCGGCCCAGCCAGCGCGCAGAAGTCTCTAACTTTTAAAACATCTTACTGTGCTCGACGGTATGTCAGTGTCGTCAAAGACCAGACCCCAACTCTAGCTTCAGCAACCGGCGTGGCGCTGAATTTTCCATACGCTCCAGAGCACTCAGCCCCCCGGTCCCCTGTAGCACTTAACCAGAACAAGCACAGACTTAACCCTCAGGTCTCTACGACACTCAACAAGAACAAGCACACTAAAGTCCGAAGACCAAGGGGCTGAGTGCGCCAGAGCTGTCCTTGTCATACTTTTCCTTGGTCGTAGGTTGGCTTTCGGCTTTGGAAACATTTAGTGTTGTTCCCCACCCTCGGTGTGGGGTTGTTAGATTTTAAACTCAACTCTTCTCCTGGCCCGGAACTCTTCTCCTCGCCCAGTCTACTCCTCCCTCATGCCTGGAGTGCCCAACCCCAGAGTCTCCCTGGAGTGCCCAACTCTACGGAGTGCCCAGACAGAGTATCTCTCTACCAAGGGAGGGTGGGGATGTTCGAAGTAAAATAATTTTGGCTTGCCTCCTGAATATAAATAAAAGGTAAAACATAAAAACAAAAATGAAAATCAAAAAATAAACAAATTAATAAATATATATATATATATATATATATATATATATACGGGCCTGCCTGCAGTACCCCAAACCTCCCAACTCGAAGGTTTTGGAGAGTACAAGTAAGTATTAAAGCTTATATACTCCCACTAACAAAGGCTTCTTACATATGGTTCTTCAGAACTTCAGTAACTTACAGGAGTCCTAAGAAACTGGGACTTCCCTTCGACCTGCAGGGCTTGCAATGGCAACGTCGGGATTTTCAGGGCTTCCCAAGCACTCCGCTTGGCCTGTGGGGGGGGGGTTTCGGGATGGGGGCTTTCTTGCTACCACCCGCCTAGCTGACACAGAGGCCACATTGCAGGGAACATAGCCTGGGACTAGGGTTTTGAGGTTTAGGGCGTAAAACCTAAACCCTAAACCCTACCCCTAAACCCTTTTTGCACAGGCTTGTCTCAGCGCGCCTGGTCGAGCCCAAACCCTAAACCCTAAACCCTAAACCCTAAACCCTAAACGACCCAAGGTTTGGGGTTTAAGCCTGGGCGTGATGTAGAGTCTACGGGCTTTACCCGCCAAGGCTCCATGATAGACTGTGCCACTTCCCTTTGCTGTCGCTTCAGCTCATTCTCTTGCGCCCTCCTGAAGACCATGGGCTGCTTCAACTTCTCGACTGTGGACCCTACTTTGGGTACCATGGATATATAAGGACACACATGGTATATAAATTCTGGGATCATCAAAAACAGGATCCTAACTTGTTTCGAGAGCCATGTGCGCCGGGGGGGAGGTGTTGGCCCTTTCTCTTGTCAGGGCTTGGATTCCTCAAGGTACCAAATAAGGGGACTTTCTTAGCTTCTGACTATCCCTAAACCCTAAATCCTAAACAAGCCAGCATGGGAACCTTCAGAACATGGAGCACCCACTAGGAAGCAACCCGCAGTACACGCCCAAGCCGCGTGAGAGCTCTCCTGAACCCTAAACCCTAAACGGCCCGAAACCCTGAACCCTAAACCCTAAACCCTAAACCCTAAACCCTAAACCCCCCCCCCCCCCAAGAAGCCTCGCCAGTTCTTGTTCAGCCTTGATAAGCTGCCCGCGGTTCCTCCGAGCAGATGCGGTTTTTTTCGACCATCTGCTTATCTCTCTCTCTTCCTTCCTTCCTTCCACTGCACCTGGTCCCCCTGTGTGGGGGGACCGCCCTAACGGGCGAGCTCCAGCGAACTGTCTGTGTGTGAAACTTCCGTTATCTCTCTCTCTCTCTCTCTCTCTCTCTCTCTCTCTCTGCCGCTGCCTATGAGCCCCTCAACAAATGAAAGGCAATAATCCCTACATTGCCCTTATAAGGAATCACATTTCTTATCTTGTAGGCCCAAAACTGAAAGAAAAACAATCCCTATATTGATCTTATAAGGAATTCATATTTCTAATCTTCTTGGGGGATTTTAAGTAGGGTTTAAGGTGAGGTTCTGGTGAGCATCTTGCCGGGCAACAAACGAGGTCGCGTGAGCCGGGGCGCAGGTGTGGGATTCTAAAGCCACTACTATCCACTACTCGCGACAGCTTTCTGTTGGGTTTTCATGTTTAGGCAGCTTGGCCTAGAGGGACCCGAGTGCCTCGAAAGTCACTATTGGACCATGTCCCCGAAACTCGAAGCGAAACCATTGGAGATATTGAGGTACAAAATAGGACATTGCAGGTCTGCATAACTGTATATGTACATGCGTATGTATGTATATGTATAAATCCACATGTTTTGATGTATACATGCGGCGTACGCAAGAAGCATAAAGACAAATAATATATACATATAAGTAAGTATATAGTATAATACATATACACACATATATATAGAGATAATTACTACTATATTGCTAATAAATGATATTCTGGCTGGTGACTGCTGAGGCGGGTCCAACTTCAGAGGGTCTGGTCCTGCCCCGCCGCGACCCAATAACGGCTGCCGCCATATGGACGCTTGCGACGCACGGGTGCGGAAAGGCAAAGCTGAAAAATGAACCTGGAGCATCTGTTACTATGGTCATTCGACGCTCACACTCAATTACCATTGCGATTCTATTCGCATTTTGAGTAAGATCTGTTTTGTTGATCTTCTTGATGTTGCTCATGAAGTATCTGTAGTTCTGCGGTGGATTCAAACCCAAATTTGGGTGGATGATGTACGTACGGGCTTTCCGTGCTGACGGGTGGTTGACACGAGTCATGGGTTTGAGTGGGTTTTGGGGCCTGCTGCTCCCGTCTCGCCCGGTCCAGCTTGAGAGCCATCATGTGAGCAACCGGGTTTAGGGTTTAGGGCTTAGGGCCGCATCATGCGCATCTCTGGAGTTTGCGAGTGTACACAGCTTCAGCCGGCTCAAGCGCTTAATCTGGGCATGACTACCCACTACCTGGCACACCCTGAAAGTGTTGATCACACCCTGGCCCCCACTACCTCAATCTGTCCAGCCACCACAAAACTTCATCGACACGGCCAAGGGAATATGCGAATCCGTGGCGATTGTGCTCAGCAAGCAGATTTTGCCCTGCATCTGTCTGTGCTGGGCAGCGATACCCACAGCAATGTTCGTGAAACCGAGTGCCCTTGGCAGTTTGCGACAACAGAATCGGGCCTCTGGTTGTTTCGGTTTCGGGTTCTCAACACTGGTGATTTCCCTGTTTTCAAGCTCAAGATTGGGGGTTTACGAAAATCGGAGACGCCCAATCTAGATCCCCAAATAGTAGGATCCCCTGATAATAAGGACCCCAATAAGGTACCCCTAATTTCTCAAACCCACATCTTGCCACGCACCCCGTGACTAATATTCGTTGCCTGATTGGTCCAGTCGTCTAGTTTGTCTGCAATATGGAAGTGTTGCGCTCGAGCAGTTCCCCTCTTCGCGTTTGCTCACAGACACGCCAGGGCCGTGGGTCGGAGAAGAATTGGGAGGAGCAGTGTTCACATGAATGAAGCTCGTTGTTTGGCGCGCGCCCCCGCCCTAGTCGAACTCGAGGCTTGGCTTTCAATACATGAGACTCTCCGCTTTGACCGAGACATGTTTCCGCAACTCGACTGCTCTTGTACTTAATCATTTGGCCATTCTCAGTTCTGGTTGTCACACAGGCAAGCAGATCAGGAACCGATGGGAAATCTCCGTCGCAAACTGCCGAGGGTTACATGCGCAGCCAGCAAATTACAGAACGGCCAGCAACAGTGCTCTAGCCAGAACGGCTTAGTGGGGAGGGCAGTCGTGAAAGACCTGTTCACAAAACATGTTGAGAAAACACCTAATATGCTAAAATAATATCATGTTCTAAGGTTGGAGACTCCTTGGCTGAGCTCGCAAGAGTACTGGCGCACAAGTACCTGATGTATGTATACATACCTACATATATATATATATATACACATGTGTATGTATATGAAGCATATTCATATATGTATATCATGCACGTTCATATGTATATTTACATATATATATATATACATAGATATATACATACAAAGACATGTGTATATGAGTATATATATATATATATATATATATGCATACAAAATTATTTATGCACCCACTCCCTCCCGCGAACAATGCCTGGGTGCACGCCCTGATTGACGAGATTGGAGGTTGACCGAACTGGAGACAAGGCATTGAATGGCATTGTGTATGCAATTCAAGATTTCCAGAGTTGTTGAGACGATTGAGCACAATACACACATCACAGGGTGAGAATTACAGCCATGGACTAGGTGACTCCCACAAGGTCTCACAAGCCACACTAAGCTATCACGCACAGTCTCAACAACGCAATTGCCCGGACCCCTGGGACGATCATGAAAGTAAAGCCCCCCTTCGTACCTGACTAATTTGAGGAACCCAAGGAGGATCTGCTTTCCAGTTCTTCCCAGAGGCATGGGTGCAACGTATCGGAAGTGAAACTTGTCAAACAGAGCTCGAAAGCGGGGTATTCCCAAGCTGCGCAGAACATGTTTTCAAAGCCAGGGGGACGGGCACACATAACTTCTGAAGTCCACGCTTTTCTGTTTTTTTGGGCGGCCTCTGCAATCTTCCAGTTTGTTGCTGGGACACAAGGAGATCGAGAAACTCCTGCGCCTTCCAAAGCCCTGATTGGTGCAACAACCGGCGAGGTGCACTCAACTCTCATCTTCAGAGTCGGAGTGTGCACTTACCTCGGTGCTTGCATCCCAGGAGATTCAGGACAAAGGGCTGCAAACATCATAGAAACGGGGGCCTCCCCAGAAAAGTCGGGGTCAATACACACCCGCAAATATCTCAAATAGGCCTCAGGTACCTCTTGATTCCGGCCAGCATGTCTGGAGGGGCTCCCTTCTCAAGAGGCCCTGCTGCCACTACTTGAGTGTGGCCCCCCCCCTCCATCAAGACAAGTTCGACCATGGGAGTGTTTGGCTTGGGGGGGCTCCAGTGGGCTCCTCCGTAAGGACAACTCTTCCGGGGGTTAAGAATCTTTCCCATAGCGCTCTACCCAAAGGGGTGCCGGAGGAGTGGCTCCGTTTATATAAATCTCCAGGCCCTCTGACAAGCGAAGAGAGTGCCACATTGAGCAAATGGCGCGTTTGTTGCTTAAAGGTTTTCGGCATTGCAAGCACGTTAGTGGGCCACTTTGACACTTTGATAGGCCATCGTACGGGTTGACTGTCAATCACCGAGCCCCATGCGGCTGCACACTGGCAACGCTCGAGGGCCGGACGACGTCCCCGTCGTCATGCGGGATGTCAAGTGACCGCCCTGATCCTGGCAGAAATCAGCAGCTCTCATCTTGCAAACACTATAAGGCCCCACACTGTGCTGCAGTATGCTGCAGTGCAGGTTGCCTGGCAAGTTAACCCGGTAAGATGCCCCAAACATCAAAGGTCCTTCCACGCTTGTGGGCGTGTCGCTGCCAGGCTGACTCGGTGCCTCCGGGCCTGCTTTGGGAAGTTCGTTAGATGTGGACATGCGATTCAAGGGGGGTTTGAGGAGTGGAATGGCGGCGAGCCTTCGTTGCCAGGCACGAGGGCCGACAAGGATGTCGACAGGGCCTGCAGGGTACATCTCAGTATGCAATTCTGCAGCAGCTGCAGCAGCTGCAGCTGCAGCTGCAGCAGCAGCAGCAGCAGCAGCAGCAGCAGCAGCAGCAGCAGCAGCAGCAGCAGCAGCAGCAGCGGCGTTCCCCCCCCCCCCTCAAGAGAAAACAACAATAAAGCAATTGTGAGGGGGTCGGTGTCACTGGCTTGCTGTGCGAGAGACTGCAGGCCATACAGAATATGAAGCCCGCAGATCTAGACATCTGAACAATTCTGAATTCCACCCTCAATCACTCATCGCAGGAACTGATCAAGACTCAGTGGCCCCACTCGGCCTTCGTGGCCAGGCTATGTGCCTGTAGTTGCGAGGCCGACTCCTGGCTGCTGAGCTTTCAGATGGGGCAGCTTCGAGAGCAAAACATCTGCAGGTTACATAGGGGCTGGCAAAGTTGGGGATTGCTATACGAAGGACAAGAGTGTTTTTGTCGGGGTGGGGTTTGAGGGTAGCCCTATCTCTACTAGTTGCTTAAGAACCCCCCCCCCCCCCCAAAAAAAAAAAATAAAAAAGAATAATAATAATCATCATCCCTAGATTACCCTTATAAGGAAGAATATTTGTGTTTTTTGTCGGGGGTTCTTTAACCCTTCACCCTGGACCCTAAACCCTTCTTTTCCAACCCTAAACCCTAAACCCTAAGCCCTAAACCCTAAGCCCTAAGCCCTAAGCCCTGAACCCTAAACCCTAAACCCTAAACCCTAGCCCTAAACCCTAAACCCCTCTACAGCTTTCTGGCTCATTGCGGAGCTCAGCCTGGCTCAGGGCGCTGTTCTCGGAAGGTCTCTGGACCGGCTGCAGTGCCTGACACTTGGGGGGGGGTGCTTTTTTAGGGTTTAGGGTTTTAGGGTTTTAGGGTTTTAGGGTTATTTAAGGGTTTAAGGGTTTAAGGGTTTTAGGGTTTAGGGTTTAGGGCTCATGAAGAAGTAGGGTCTGCCATTGCTAGTATCCCGCCCACCCCGAAGAACACTCACGCGCGCACATATTGATCAGGAACCACATGCATGTGCAGCCACCAAAAACAGCAATTACTAGGAACTCTGCCATGAGGCAGGAGCCCCGTGGCTGTAAGCACAGGGTCATGATGCGATGGCCAGTTTTTGCTCGGATGGGTACTTAAGGCAATCACCGCATTAAGTGTTGGGCTCACAGAACATGAGGCTTGGGAAACAGGCACCACAACTGCCCGCGTTGAGACAAACAGCAACTCAGCAAATGGCTTCAACTCCTGGAATGAATTGGGGCTCCCCGTGCTTGCTTTCTAGCAACACGAAACAAGACCACAATGTCAACGAGCACCACGTCCTTGCACCATCCCTGTCAAAAAGGAGCCAGCAGAAGTTACGTTTTCGAGCTTTGCAGTATTCTATTCTGGGGCTGCGTATCAGCCCTGAAAAAGCTTCCAAGCTTCGGAAAGAGATTCAAGCCTGCATGCTGCTGCCTAAAGACCGGAATCGTGAGTTTCTGATTTGGCGATGTGGAGGTGTAAAATGCTCCACCAGGCACCTAGCATAGATTTACCAGCATCCCTTAAGCTATCTTAAGCTCGTGGATTTCAGGCAGCTTCTAAAGCCATGGGCTTGAAGACTTCGGCCTGAACCATGCAGGCCTGAACCATGCAGGCCTCGGGAATTGAGGCTCAAGTGGGCTTTTTTGGCACGCATGAGTAGCATGTAGGTGCCTGCACTATTCGGGATCACTTGGGACGTGCCAGGAATGACACAAATACTAACAGTTACTAACAGAACGACGAAGATGACAAGCACCACGACGACGGCCTGGCCTTGGAATGCTCCTCAATGGCCTGCTCAGCGCCTTCTGGTGTCGGGGCCTCCTGGACATGCAGAGAGGTCAGCCCCTCAACCCTAAACCCTAACCCCTAAACCCTAAACCCTACCTATACCGTCTTAGCCTTGGGGGAGGGGTGTGCAAGGTAGGTAGTGAAGAACTTTGTGTGTTGTCTGACCCTCTCTTCCCAGAATGAGCAGCCCCCACACACTCCAGAACAGCCTTCCGGGCATAAAAAAAGGCTGAAAGTTGGACATGTCAAAGCAATGCAGCAGATCCGCGGAAGCTTAATAAAGGATAGGGTCTGTTGTAGTCATAGCCTACCACTTGCATTGTAATCTGCCAGAGGTGCAGGAAGCCCGTACCAAAAAAAACACAACATTGGCATGAGAGCTTCTCAACTTCCCAAGCCCCCCCCCCCTCCTTCTGAGAAGCGGACTAGGCTCGCAAAAACAAGCCAGTTGACGAATGTCAGCAATGAAAACAACCACTTAAACAACAAAAAACCGACATGCTTTCTTTGCCTATGTGGTCTCTTGCGAGTATCAGCAACTAAACCACGAAGTCTAGAAGCCAGCTCAGCCCTCAACCCCCAAACTCCGCTACATTAACTCCTTAATCCCTTTTTAGGGTTTAGGGTTTAGGGTTTCTCCCCAAACAGCCTGATCACTTGCAGCATCGCTGCGGCTGCGGCCCGTCATGTTGCCTCCAGATGCACAACATAAGGTTCCTCTTGGGCCTACCGGCTTCTCATGTAAAGCACGTTCCATACAAGGCATTGCGCAAAGAAGGGACACGTACCTCCTAGCAGTTCCCAAAATGTGCGCCGAAAGCCCTGAACACCGCGGAGACGCAACCACCCACAAGGCCCCAATGCCTGGGGACATCGGAGTGCTTTCATCCTCCGCTTCGTCGCAGAAGTCCTGAAACCCGATGGCTTTGATAGAATGCTTGTTCTGGAGTCCCCAGGCTTCCCAAAGGTTCAGGGTTAAAATGAATCTTTGGGCCAGTGGGCCCATGCTATCTGAACCCCGCAACGTGGATCCTCATCCTCGCTATAGGCCTCGTCGCCAGAGTCTGCCACCTTCGGAGATCTAGAATGGAAAGGTTCTGGTCCATGGCTTCGAAAGCCTCATGAGCTGAGACCAAATCCTGAACCGTCTGAACCCATGAAGTCCTGTAAACCCGCAAGTCCCCGCACCCTGTCACATCTGCTGAGTCGGCACACCTCCAGCACCTAATTTTGACTTGCCTTAACCCCCCCCCCCCCCCGCGCAATAAATCAAAGTCCCGGACCTACCAGGCGACAGATTTTTCCTTGAAGCTGCAGTCTGGAGATCAAGCAGGCGGCAGTCCTCTTCCGGGCTGAAATTGTTTCAGACCCCGACAAACAACCCTATGGCCCTATGTTATGCATCTCCTCATATCCCCCAGATTCCCGAGCGAGGGCTCGGGTGGACGACCTGCTGGAGACACTGTCGCTGTGCTTGCGCCAGGCGCGCAAGCAGGTTTCACAGATGTACCGGCAAGAATCCAAGCAACTTCTTGCGCAGACGATGGGATCCCGAGGTTGCCAAGGAAGTGACTTGGGCTGCTGAAACACATTCAGCGCAGCCTGACAAGAAAAGACTCTGCATTTGCCCTGACCGGTTTAAGCGGATTCCATCACATGATATGATAGTCGCAGGGCGCATATGGGGCAACGCGAAAATCAGCCCTTTTTGCTTATGATGAAATGAAGCCACGACCTTGGACTCCCCGTGTAAACTGATTGACACGACAAGTGTCATGTGGGGTTTGCTTCCCAGCCCATCACGCCTCGTTAGCAAGACCTCGCTTAGACTGGCTTAGACCTGTAGTTGGGGTTCTCAGGCGTATTCCGGCATTACAGGGCTAGAGGAGCTTCAGCCGGAGGCGTAGAGCCATGCTCACTTGGCGAAGTTGCTGCGGATGCGGCCCAGGATGTAATCTCCGGCTGTCCTGGGTTTGGGGAGGTTTTGGGATTGACCACTCCGAAGCACGGAAACCGGTGAACGTCAATGTTGAGCTGTGCATTGCGGACTGCATGCTGCGCCGAGTGACACTGTCTCCATGGTCTCGCACTCAATTTTCACGTGCATGTCTGCCTGCCTGGGAGCAGGCTTGCAGTCCAAGCACATTCTCCACACCCAATTCCAAGTACTAAGCACTCTGGGTACAGTAGCAGGGTCTGTTCACCGGAGCGAGGAGCGGGCTTTGGCGACCTAATGGCCCAAACGATTGCCCAAAACGACTCCACTCTCTCTGTGTGTGTGTCTCTCCCCCTTTGGAACTCCCTGAAAGTCACAAAGCACACCAAGCATCGAAGACCCGGCAGTCACAGGGTTTAGGGTTTAGGGCCCAGTCGCATGAAGAAGGCCATGGAGTACCGGGATTTTGGCGGCGTGCACTCCTCTCGATGCACGCCCTTCTCGGCTTGGGATGCTGTTTCCGCGGTTCCGAAACCCTAAACCCTAAACCCTAAACCCTAAGCCCTAAACCCTCAACCCCTAGGATGGCCCTCAAGACCTAGGATGGCCCTTAAAACCCTCTGAAATCGATTCCTGAATGAATGATCCTCTGAAACCCAAAAAGGGACAATATGACGGGTTTAGGGTTTAGGGTTTAGGGTTTAGGGTTTAGGGTTTAGGGTGTCCCCCAGGGCCTGCCGAGAAACCCTTCAAAGCAACCTTTGGTGATCTCAGTCTGTGGTAACCAAGGGCTTTGGAATTGAGTGCTTGGATGCAAAGTGCTCAAGCCTCCGACGTCCCTCTTAGCCCGAAGTCGAGCAACCCCTCAGCATCCTGTCGCCTAGCCATGCTTCCGTTCCCAGCTCAAGGTTTAGGAAACTTGGGTTTCGAGGAGCCGCCTTTACATGATATTATGAGATATGCCATCATCAAGTTGTGCTCATAGTGGGACTGTAACAGATACCTCCACAAGATATCGTTCTGACATGCTTTCGCGCGTATCGAGCGCGTTGGCCTAATTAGGGGAAAGGCTGTGGCTACAGAGAGCCTCGAAAGCCCCCAAACCCAGGGGTTACCCACGAGACACAGGAATGCACAAAGTTTTAATGATGAATTATGACCCATTATGACCCCAGCTCCTCTGGCGTGGGCATCCGCACACGGTGCAGGTTCCTTCACAGCAACACCCAAAGCCCTAGACGGAAGTCGTGTCATCCGCCTACTCGCCAACTTTAGCCCTGAATACCGGTGACAACTTCTCCTAGCATGATCATATGCCCCAAGTGAATTTCTAGAAGTTTTAAGGAGTCTAATGAACCCAACTTTATAGGCTGAGTTTGGAGTTCTCAGGGGTTGATGGCATACGGGTAGTTCTCTAGATGATTTTTTTTTTGTGGGGGGGGGGGGGGGGCAGGGTTCCTCGTATTGTTGGGGTATCCCTTTTGCATCCAGGTCTCTTGGGGTATCCCTAAAAACTCTAACTCGAGTGAACTTACGCGGTGGCGGTTCTGGGCTTCCCCTGGACGCACAGGAGTTTGAGGGAGCATATGGGGGTTTGCGAAAATAAGGGAACCCGTTATCTAGACCCCCAAATAGTAGGATTCCCTTTAGGTACCCCCCATGTCGGAAACCCCCATATAGGGTCTCTAGAGCTTCATTTCTCGGGTCTCGAAGGCCAGGAAACTGAACTCACAGAAAATTCTCTGTAGAGAGGCCAGGCAAGATGCACAATGCTTAAACTGAATACATCTGCGTGTGGGCATCGGCTGCGCAACCAGTCGAGGCACAGGTATCACCGCTGTGAGCAGAAGTCATGTTCAACTCTTCATGCGAAACATAGAGGCTTGTGACGTCTGATTCATTGTTTATAGGGAGCTGAGAGGTATCTTACATCCTCCCGTGCACCCATTTTAAGGGACAATACAGGGTACGTAATTTCGTCATGGGGAACTATAAGAAGGTTCGTATCGACAAGGCGCGAAAGTAGGCGGCGATCTGACCATCGCCCCAACATGTCGCCGATGTTCACGGACTGAGAATTGCAAAGGTCCACATGTCCATCAGTTTGAACAAGTTTGTGTGCACACCAGGTCTTATAGTGCACAACACGCTGGCAGCAGGCTTGAACACGGTCTTCTTAACTCCCCAAGACTATTTAGAGCTTTAAGTATGGGCCCTTAACTAGGGTCCCTTTCTCTATAGCCATTATGTACTCTACATACATCATCAAGGGCCCATACTTCTCAGACACTCTCGGGGATGTCCCTAAACCCTAAACCCTAAACCCTCAAGACCAGTCTGCTTTCGGGCCAAGCGTCGATGCCACCAGGCACTGGGTCCACTTTGAGCCACGGTGCGCTGTCCGGTGTCTTCCTTGGAATAGGGTTTAGGGTTTAGGGTTTAGGGTTTCGACTCTCACACTCACACACGGCCGGCAAGGCATCGGTTTAGGGTTTAGGGTCGGTCCCTTAGTATGGGCCCTTAAATGAGGATCCCTTATATACCCCTTGTAAACCACAATTAAACCCAAGGACCCATACTTCAGAACCCTTTAAAGAAGGTAAGAGACCATGTCTAGGGCATCTACCCTTAGAGTCAGGCAACGGGAGCGAATAGCTGTGACTCCTAGGCCTCCCAGATATATCTGGGCTTGTCAAGCCCATTGTCCGGGACAATCTGAACATCCCAAGGATACCTAGCCAAACTTCCCACACTCAAACTTCCCAAGCCTTTCACGGCTCAAGTGCCTGGTAGAAGAATTTTGAACGTTGTGTGCCCCAGCCAAGCGAGCACACTCTGCCTGTGCAGTCGTCAACAAGCCTCAACACCTAGACATCCCTGGACCTAAACCCTAAACCCTAAACCCTAAACCCTAAACCCTAAACCCTAAACCCTAAACCCTAAACCCTATAGACCCTAAACTAAAATTCAGGGCACAGCTGCGCATTGGGGTTGGAGGCGCACTCGAGGCCCTCGTTGCCAGGGAGCCTCAGAGGCTTGGATTGATTGGGATGCAGCTCTCAAGGGTTTTGGGTTTAGGGTTTAGGGTTTAGGGTTTAGGGTTTAGGGTTTAGGGTTTAGGGTTTAGGGTTTAGGGTTTAGGGTTTAGGGTTTAAGGTAGGAGCCTTGAAGACGGCATGTAAGGATCACAAGGGGAACATGATGAGCTGAGGAGATGGATCTATGTTGCATGTCTCGTGCGTTTGGCAGTTGTGCTGTTTCAAGCTCCGTGCCAAAGGGATGCAACGGCTGCGGGCCAGTGGGTGGTGGGTGACGGCTTCAGAAGGCATGCCGCTTGTCGACCCTACCGCCTCAAAGCCATGTCGTGCTGCCAAGAAGAAGCCCTCAATCTCAGAAGTTCCTGGCCATCTCCAAGTCTAAGCTACGACGCCACCAAACACTCTGAACGATCCTTGAACCCTGGCCCCTAAACCCTAAACCCTATGCAGGTTTCCAGGTCCCGAGCTGAAAACCGGTCAGGCGGCTGAAAGAGCAGCGTGAGAGCGCACCAGTCCGTATGAGGCCCCGCCCTCCAGTAGTTCGGTGGCAGTGTCTCCTTGGAAGGGGTAACTCGGAGCGGCAGATTGTAGGGACCTTAAAGAGGCTAAGTCCACAAGGCGCGACACACCTCACAAGGATTGGGCTTCTGCAGTAGAAGCTGAACGGAGATGTGGGATCTCATTTTTCATGAGTTCACTGAGAGCGTCCCTTGCGCCTATGTTCTTTTGGTTGGTCTGGAACTTGATCATAACCGAATCCTCAAAGGGCTTAAGCCCAACCAGTCTATTGCAGCCCGCATGGAGGCATGTCTTGCGCATGCCCAAATACAACTTGTGCCCGAGTGGGGGTGCGAGAGCTGAAGTAGGACGATGTGAGGCGCATGCGCACGGCCACGCACTGTTCCAATGCTGCCTGGCGACGGGCCCTTCCGCACACAATAGGACGTGAACACAAGTCGTAGGCCCATACCCCTTGAACCTCCACACCGCACGTCTAAAGACCGCCTCGCGGGCCCATACCCCCCGTGGCCTGATCACTCTCTTGCTAGACTTTCGAACTGAAACCTCCGAGACCCCGAACCCTGAGGCTTTAACCT